CCTCACATTCACCACTGTAAGGGGAGGAGCCACTGGGAAGGTGAACAAGAGAACTTCAGTGACACTGATGAGGATGAATTAAAGGCCTTTGTAAGAAAACAAATAAATAAATAAAATAAAAGAAATAAAATGCGGCTCATGACCTACTGTCACTCACATGGCTTTGCAGGCCCACATGTGTGTCCCTGGGGCTGTGGGTGGGTGGTTAATGGCTGGGAGGCCAGGTCCCACCCTCAGGAATGAAAAGAACTTCAGGTGCATCCGCCACCAGGGAGGCCTCAGCCCTGGGACACGTGGGGGAGCCTCTCAGCCTGAGTGAGTGAGCTGCCCTCCCTCCTGCCAGGACCCGCTGAGGGCGTGATAGAATGTCCTCTGAGCTTTGGGAGAAATACCACAAAACAGGAAGAGGGTAGCTCTTTCAGAGAAAGAGGAACATTCAAAAACTTTGATAATACAGTTTAACCACCTCCATGGAGTCAGTAAACATGTCATCTGAAGGTTATTCCCAAGGCCTGTTACACTCAATTTCACGGTCATGGGAACCAAGGCCTGGCCATTCCAGGAACTTTCACCTGTAGGCGCTGCCTTGTCCTGTTTCTTTGTTTTAAGTGGCTCAGAGCTCCCCAAAGCATCTTCTATTTGGGGTCTAGTGTCTACTTAACCCCTGTCCTGAGCAGGTAAGGCAGACAGTCACCATTCCATTTTAAAACCTTCTTTCTAGACTTCTCACAGGTTGACAACGTCTTCCTTTTCAGTAAGCAAATCGAATTCATTGGCTTTTAAAAACACTCAAATAACAAAATTCACTTTTACCCCCATATTGCTTCACACTGTATACAGCTGGAATAATCAATTACCTTTTTTTTTAGAATCTTAGATCCTATGATAATTTGCAATTTTTATACTTATGTACGGAAAGCCTTCCCAAGCTCAGCCAATGCGCATGTATCATAATGACATGCCCCTCCCTCCTCTGAAGTTTATAGTCATGTGTTTTACTAGAATCTCAAATGACTGGGTCACACTCAGTGCTCTTCCATGTTATTGTGATGACTTTTCTTTACTGAGTAACATTTTAAAAACTACCATTGTGGTAAGAGCAGAGTGAATAAAGGGCTAAATTATAGTTTAGAAAGTGTCAGAGTGACAGGAAAGGCTCCATATTGTCCTGCAAATGTCCTTCATTTGGAGAAGAGGAGCCCGCAAGAGCCCTGGTTCCCTCTGAGGGTCCCATCCCCTCCCGGAAACCCCTCTCCATCTCCTTGAGGGCAGCACCACCCAAAACTGCGATGTAGGAACACTTTCTTCTCCACCCTCTTTCTGCTGTAATTATTATTATTATTATTATTATTATTATTATTATTATTATTATTATTATTATTATTATTATTATTATTATTATTATTATTATTATTATTATTATTATTATTATTATTATTATTATTATTATTATTATTATTATTATTATTATTATTATTATTATTATTATTATTATTATTATTATTATTATTATTATTATTATTATTATTATTATTATTATTATTATTATTATTATTATGTTGTTGTTGTTGTTGTTGTTAATCCTCACCTGAAGATATTTTTTTATTGATTTTTAGAGAGAGTGGAAGAGAGAGGTAAAGACAGAGAGAAACATCGATGTGAGAGAAACACATCGATTGGTTGCCTCCTGCAGGAGCCCTGACCAGGGCCAGGGCTGGGTAAAAGCCTGCAACCGAGGTTCGTGCCCTTGCCAAGATTCAAACCAGGGTTCCTTTGGTCATCAGGCCGATGCTCTGTCCACTGAGCCAACCCGGCCAGGGCCAAGGTATCACCTTTTCTTTTCTTTTTTGAATTTTCCATCTGACTTCATTTTCAAATACACTTTCTTTTTTAAAAAAACCAATATAGTTTCTGTGGGGATGACAAATATCAGTATTAGGAAATGGAATTATACAAAAACTAGAAGCCCGGTGTACGAAATTCGTGCATTCAGGGGTGACACCTCAGCCTGGCCTGTGCAGTCCTGGAGCCCTTGGGGGATGTCTGACTGAGAACCGGCCTAAGCTGGCAGTAGGACATCCTTAGCGGAGCCTCTCCTACCACTGCCACTGTGCTTGCCAGCCGCGAGCCCAGCTCAGGGATTCTGGCTGAGTGGCGCTCCCCCTGTGGGAGCACACTGATCACCAGGGGGTAGCTCCTGCATTGAGAGTCTGCCCCTTGGTGGTCAGTGCGCATCATAGCAACCAGTCATTCCACTGTTCAGTCAATTTGCAAATTAGCCTTTTATTATATAGGATACTACGTCCAGTTGGGTAGATATATTATGTTTTGGTGACACACAGTAGGTGGCGCTCATTACACAGTGATTATATGGTAACTACCATGAAGCACAGAACTGTGACGGCCACAGCTGCAGGCCCTGGGCCTCTCTGCTGAGCACTTTGGGAAATGGGATGCCCCCTCCAGAGGCCCGACCAGGAAACCTGCTCAGGAGTCCAGCCCTGAAGGGGCAGCTCCCAGAGTCCCTTGCAGCTGACTGATGCCAGGCAAGCACATGAGTGATGAAGTAGTTACAGCCTCACTCACAAAAGTTACCATTTCTCCTTCTAGAAAGAAGCAGGAAGGGAAGGAATTCCTTGAATCCGCGCCTGGCGTGTCAGGTGGGAGCGCAGAGGAGGCTGGGAGAGCGGTGGCAGGAGACCGGCGGGGCCAGGTGGGCTGGATCCTTCATAACCATGGTTGGCTCCTAAGCACTGGTAGCAAGGTGACTTCCGATTTGTAATCTCTGGTAAATTACAGATAAATGGAAAAGGCCCGGAGTCATACACGAAGATTAATAAACGGCGCTTCCAAACTGCTCGCAGCAGGCTCTCCACACGGGAACCCTGATTTCTTCTTCCCGCGTCTGGCTTGCAGAGCAGCTCCC